GCAAAGAGATGCAGGAAGAGACATTCTACAGTACATTAGGAGCAAGAGGAAGACCACAGACAGGGCGAGCGCCTTCTCAACAAGAGAGGAGGGAAACAATAACAGAAAATATGAAAATGACAAGTGCTAAAGGACTTCTTTGTTTCTGATTTTACTAAAAACTAGGGAAGTTAAATATTGGTTAATTGAATAGTCAGTTAACCTTATGAATCCTTATTGGTTAGTTGACTATTCTATAGTCCCTGGGGGGCTGGGGCCGGAAGCCAGTGCGCTCCGGCCCCACTTCTGAGGAGCCCCCTGTATCAGAGGCAGCAGCGTGGGGTCCCAGGTGGGAGCTGGTCCACAAAGAGAGTCAGTTTAAAAACCAGCTCCACTCCCAGACCCACTGTCTGTCACCCTGTACTGCTGCCTCTGAAACAGAGCCAGCAGCAGAAGGTGGCATCATCTCCTGTCCAGGGTAGGAGCTGAACTCCCAAGACCCAGCATGAACCGGAACTGAACCAGGCTGCCTCCTAATACACTTTAAATGGAGAGCCACAGCGGCGGTAGGTCCCATATCCGGCATGAACCAGGACTGAGGTGGGCTGCTGGCCAGCCTGCTAAAAAATTTACTGGCAGGAGGCGGGGTTTCAAAGGGTCAGTGGAGTCCCCAGCTGACCCCGGGTTCTGGTGAAATGCCGCAGGGAGCCCAGGGTCAGCTAGGAAGTCCCAGCTGACCCTGGGCCCCATGGCAAGCCCTAGGACTCCCCGCTGACCCCAAGCTTCAAGAGGCACTGCCACTTTGAAGTACCCCTCACACATGACTTGCTCCATCCCTGCCTTCCTCATGCCCACCCCTTCTTTCTAGCCTTCTCCCAGCACCTCCCTCTCCCCCCTCTATCCCCCAGTGCCCTTTGCTGCCTTTATCTTGTAGAGGCATGGGGGGGGAAATCGACTAGTTAACTAGTCAAAAGACTGTCCGATAAGCAAATGCTTATCAGATAGTCAACTAGTTGACTAGTCTTTAACATCCCTACAGTGCACAGAGCAGAGGAATTTTGGAGGATCCATCCTTGTTTTTGCCTCACAGCTTTTGGCAGTCAGAGGTTTAGGGTCACCCTGAGCATGGGGTTACACTCTGACCATCTTGTGTAATAGCCATTGATACAGCTAACTACCATCAGCTTATCTCATTCTTATTTTATCACGGTTATACTTTTGGCTTCACAGCCTCCCCGGCAATGAACTCCACAAGTAGAGTGTTCATTTTGTGAAGAAGTGTTTCCATTTGTTTGCTTATTAATTTTATTAGGTTACTCCTGGTTTTCGTATTGAGAGTAAATAACACTTCTTTATTCACTTTTTCACACCGTTACTCCTGGTTTTCGTATTGAGCGTAAATAACACTTCTTCATTCACTTTTTCACACCATTCTTCATGTTGTAGCTCTCTGTCATATCCCGCTTAGTTGTCTGTTTTCTAAAATGAACACCCTTACTCCTTTCAGTCTTTCCTTGTTTGGAAGCTGTTCCATGCCCGTGGTCATCTTTCTAAAACAAAAGGAAAAACTACGTAGCACTTTAAAGACTAACATGATGGTTTAATAGGTGATGAGCTTTCGTGGTCCAGACCCACTTCCTCAGATCGTATTCTGGAAGAGAATTGGCATGATCAGGTCTCGACAAATTCTGGAAAACCCTACTCGCCAGACAAAAAAGGGACTTGCCACCCTCCACCGCAAAAAGTGTTTTTTTAATGGCATAAATTCCTAATAAGAATAAGAACAGTAATTACTAAGTTATTACTAAATATCACCCAAGTTATTAATAAATATCTTATAAACCTCTACCTTTTCCCTCTGCTGCCCTGTCTCCTCCCCTTGCTCCATCAGCTCCCCTGGTGCCTGCTGCCCCCCAACCCCTCACCCTCC